AGTGGCTGCTCCTCCAGGCGAGCACAGGGCCAGCGTGGAGTTGGAGCTTTGTGAAGTAGCCAGTAAATCAGAACGCCTCCGCTAGGTGCAGAGCGCGGTGGCAGCGGGCCACTCTGCCAGTGCGGTAGTCGGTGGGACCGAACTCCACACTCGGGAAGGGGCAGTCTGCGGGCGTCGGGCCTGTGCTGCCTCTCGCCTGGGTCGGCCCGGAGACCGCCAACCCCACTGCAGGTCCCGGTCTCTGACATTCCCTGGCACCGAGGGCTGGGATCAGAGATTCCCAGCTGCACTCACTGAACAGTGATTTTTTTTTTTCTTCCCCTCCCTGAATTCTTTAGCTGCCAAACGGGGGGGAAAAATCAAGAGCTGCGCTTTTAAACGAAGTTGCCCTTGCTGGTGTTCAGGGTAAAAATAGAGGCGGCCGCTTGGACCGGCTTGGCCCTGAGTCCAGGCGTCCCGCGAGCCGGGCTGGAGCTGCGCATTCGGGAGTGATCCCTGGAAACTGCCAGCAGGTGCTGCTCAAGGTACGGTGGCAGGCTGAGAAGGGACAGGGCCTGGGTGCAGGGAGTCTCCGCGGGAGGGGCAGGAAGTGAAAGAGAAACCAACCCAGTTCAGAGCTGCGCTGACCAGCGCAAGCCCTGGGCCCTGGAATTCAGCAGGGAAACGCTGATCTTCTGCTCAGAGTATTCCACAGAAGCTGTTTTAACCTGCCTGCTTCCTCCACCACCCCCAACTTGGATTTCCACGGAGAGAGAGGCGGCTTTCCCAGTGTAGTTTAGCTCTGAGGTTGGGGGATCCAGCTACATCATGTCACAGCTGTTAGATTGGTTTAGCAGGTGGGCACTTCCTGGTGTCAAAGGTCAATAAGGATCTCAGGGTGACCCCTGTAAGGTGGGTGGCCTCTGCAGTCAGGGTCCTGAACACACACACTTAAGAAACTACCAGGATGCCCAGAAATAACATTTCTTTGTACTACTGAGTTTTGACCCTGAGATTATAGATCCCATTTTATAGATGGAAACACTGAGGCTTGGGTTTAAATGATAAGGGAGCCTCAGAGCTGGGGGTCTGATCCAGGCGCGTCTCCGTGCCACCCACACTGCATTCGGGTGCCAAGTGGTACTTGCCCTGAAATCATGTGTGAGGCAGGAGGTGGGTTTAGATGCCAGAGGTTCTTCCCAGTGTGGACGTGCTCTCTTCCAAGGGTGGCCATGGGATGGACCGTCTCTGACTTTCTTTGTCTTTGCCACTCATATTCCTTTCTTCCTCTGTTACTTCATTTCCTACTTCACTTCTCTTATGCAGTTCTTAGAAGGCTCCTCTCCCCTCCTCCCCCACATAGAGCTAGCACCCACACTTTGTAGTCAAGATACCCTTGCACAGACTGCTCCTGGTGTCCTAAAGGAACCTTCCCCCACCACACATCAGGAGACCAGAACCTCTATATTTTGCTTGTGGGCACAGTGAAAAGTTTATTTTATGCATGTTAAATCCGGCACACAAAACAACATATCTGGTCATATGGCTTTCATTAGCTCCCAATTTTGCACATTTTATCCAACTTGTCATGAGAACCTGGCCAGTGCTTCAGCTGTACTCCTTCCTGAGAACAACGGCCCATCTTCACTGCGCTTATCGGAGAGTCCCTCTCCTCTATGTTATCTTCCTGCCAGTGCGACCCCCCTCAAGAAAACCCCCAAACTAACTTTACTTCCATTTCAAGAAGAGTTCACTTCTTTTCATTAAACTCACATTTATAATGTTTATAAATTATAGGACTTGAAGTTCTAGCCTAAAAAATTGTGTGTGTGTGTGTGTGTGTGTTGTTGTTGTTGTTGTTGTTGTTGTTGTTGTTGTTTTGTTTTTGCTAGATAGGATGGGACTCTAAAGATCTAGGGAGGCAGGGTACTTAGTTCACTTTCAAAGAAGGACCATTTCCCAAGTCTGGGGTGATAAATGATGTATGAAGTAGGCATTCAATTTCAAGGTGTAAATTAATAGTGTGAGTCAAGGCAGAGAGACCATCACCACACGGACATACAGATTTTCCTATGTTTTTCTGCAAGAAAATAGCTTATTTTAATCATAATTATAAAGTTAGACTTCCTATAAAGAACACTATGAATTTTCTTTGCTGTGGAAAAAATAAAGTGCTTTGCAAGTAGAGGCAACTTTATGAAGTAACAGATGTTTTATGTACAGACATAAAACTGAACCTGAATATAACAAGAAGTGTATGTGTGAGTAGTATAAAGTCAAAGCTGGACACTCTTGAAGATGTGAATGCCTGTATTTGATTCTCTAATTTTTTTTTTTGTAAGTGGTGGACTATTCCTAGCCACAGGCTTTATTGGCTCAGTACATCACCCAGGTAGTGTCTCAGAAGCCAAGAGGGATTTCCATTAGATAATGAATTATGGAATGTCTCACACTGGAAAAACTAGTCATCTGCTGATGTCATGCTGATTCTAACCAATCCTAAACATAGCCCAGCCCCCCCTTTAAGAGGTACCAGTGTCTGAGTGTACAACTAAGTACTACAGTATAAAACTTCACAGTGCCAATACCATGAAGAGGAACTCAGACAGCTCTGACCTCATGATACAAGAGCCGGCTGGCAAAACAGAAGGGACCAAAAAGGTAATGCTTTTAAATTCTTGCTTATGAGCTTTCTACACGTTAAAAGTCACTATGGCTAAGAGAACTTTTACAACTTTTTGGCACCTCCATAGGCATTGTAATTTGTATCGTTTTCTATTGTGCAGGCAGGTTAATACTGTTTTTAATAGTCCTAGAGCATACAAATAGATTATGTGTTTATACAACCCACTCAGCACACATATACAAGTACATATGCCAAAGAGAAAGCTATTTTTAAGAGTTCCATTTGCAAACAGTAAATTCAGGGAACACACACATATTCACATGCAGAGAGAATCCAAACATTGATAAGTTGTTCTTATCCAAATGCTACTATTAGGATTCTAGAGTTGTTTAGAGTCATTAAACTTTTAGCTCTATGTTAGTCTGTCTTGTAAAACTTAACTGCACTGCAAAATGCTCCGGGTTCTGTATCTGTAATTCCAAATAGGTGGGTGCTGTTATTATAAAACAAAGATATTTTACTGAGCTTTGTAATACCCATGGCCCTGATTCTGCATTGTTGCTTTTGAAAAAGGTAGCATTTGTATGGTTTAGAAAAGCATTGTTACCTTTCAAAACTGGAAGTTGAACTTAGTATCATGATTTTTATCAACCTGGTCTCCTTGTATGTAGACCTCATGCTTGTAGTCCTGACACCTATTACCTCTGTCCTCCTGACGTGCTTTGCTAGATGAGACAGCTCTGAACAGGGAAGTGTCAGGTAGAAGCAGAGTGCATCTACAGAAACTAAGAGGGCTTCTGTGTAGAGAAGAAACCGAGAGGGAAGGACAGCTTTAACAGATGGGCGCCTTAAAGATACTTCTGCAAGATAAAAGCAATAAGACAGAAAATGAAAAGGGGGTGTGCAAAATTAAAAAAAAAAGCCTCAGAAAGGCATTGTTTTAAAATGCACATTTGTCTTGTTCTGTGAGCACTGTAATCCTTGATGATTTCAGCTCTGCTGTTACTTTGAAGAGAAAGGAAGCAGCCAAGCAGGCTGCCATGAATGCTATGGTTAATACTAGGGGTGGGGGCAGAAAAACAAAACAAAACTAGCACATGCCAGAGAAAAATAATTTGTCAACATATTTTAGATATTCTTTCCTTGTAGACCAGTTATTCACACCATAAGAGCACACTGTTTTTATGAAAGAATGTGAGAAAGGCCAAGTGAATTCTATGCTTTATCTCTGAAGCCAGGACAAGGGACAGTGGGCTATAATATGTGGATATGTGTGTATGCAGGGCACACACACACACACACACACACACACACACACACACACGAGAGAGAGAGAGAGAGAGAGAGAGAGAGAGAGAGAGAGAGAGAGAGAGGTGAGTACCTTCTCTGATTAGGGTGTGTAAAATGCTGCTTGCCCAAGGGAGCTTCCAATGCCCTGCTGTGGTGCCCAGTTGGCAAAAGCAGAGTGTATTATATGACCCCAGACAAAAGTTCTGCTGCGCTCCAGGTCCCATTGGATCGCCTGCTGGCATGAGGACCCTGGACATTTAAATATGAATGAATGGCAGAAAGGAATGGTTCTGGATTCTGTCAGGCAGAACAACCAGCTGTCTCAGGCAGCCCCTCTGTCCCAGGTCCAGTCCCCTGACCTGTGTGATCTACGGAGGGCTTCCCTCAGCCCCACAGCAAGGTCAGGTGCGTGCTTACTCCAGGGCAGTGCCAGGCCATGGGAGAGGACTTTGGGGGCACACTTTGCAATCAAGTTATCTCAGGGAATGGAGACAGTGCATTCAGTTTGTTTGGGTTTTCTCTTCCAAAGAAGGAAGGTGAAACGGACTGAGCAGAGAGAGATGAAAAGAAGAGGGGAAAAAGTAGAAGAAAAAGAAAGAAATCCTTAGACCAAAAGTGAAGAGCCTTAGGAGCATGTATTGCAGAAAGGGCTAAAGAATCATCCCCCATGCCCAGAGAATGGTAGGATTTGAAGAGAGGTGTGTGAGGGAGCAAGGAAAGCAGCCTGTCAGAAAGGGCTGTCCCTCCTCTCCAGTCCCAGCCCTTACACACAGCCGCCCTCCCTCTCTCATTCACTCACTCACTTAGGGCCAATCCGTGCTCTCTCTCTCTCTCTCTCTCTCTCTCTCTCTCTCTCTCCTCTTTTCCTCCCCTCCCCCTCCTTTTCTCCCTCCCCTCCCTTGCTCTCCCTCTCTTTCTCCCCCTTTCCCTCTGTCTTCTCTCCCCCTCTCTCCTTTCTCCCTGTCTCTCTCCCTCCCATCCTCTCTCAGTCTCTGTCTCCCCCCCACCCTGTCTCTTCCTTCCTCCCTCCCTCTCTCCCTCCCTCTCTCTCTCCCTCCCTCCCTCCTTCCTTCTCTTTTACTCGGAGACAGTCAGAACTCTCCTCCCTGACAGCCACAAACCTACAGCACTGACTGCATTCAGAGAGGGAACCTGCAAACAAAACTTCACAGAAAACTTTTTGCTCTTGTTCCAGAGAATTTGCTGAAGAGAAGAAGGAAAAAAAAAAGTCCAAAAGAACCTGTGCGTGAGGGGGGGAGGAAAAGCAGGGCCTTTTAAGAAGGCAACCACACGACTTTTGCTGCCAGGATGCCCTTGCTTTGGCTGAGAGGATTTCTGTTGGCAAGTTGCTGGATTATAGTGAGGAGTTCCCCCACCCCAGGATCCGAGGGGCACGGCGCAGCCCCGGACTGCCCGTCCTGTGCGCTGGCCACCCTTCCGAAGGATGGACCTAACTCTCAGCCAGAGATGGTAGAGGCTGTCAAGAAACACATCTTAAACATGCTGCACTTGAAGAAGAGACCCGATGTCACCCAGCCGGTGCCCAAGGCGGCGCTTCTCAACGCGATCAGAAAGCTTCATGTGGGCAAAGTGGGGGAGAACGGGTATGTGGAGATAGAGGACGACATTGGCAGGAGGGCCGAAATGAATGAACTCATGGAGCAGACCTCGGAGATCATCACCTTTGCCGAGTCAGGTGGGTGCTGGCGTTGGGGGTGGGGGCGGGGGCAGGGAAATGTATTTCGTTGACAGTCCTAGCAGGAACTTCTTTCCCTCCCGCTGGAGACTGCCCGGGAAGGTTATTAGTTATTAGGTGATGGTGGCGCCGGAGAGGCAGAGGAGGGGGAGAAGACTTCTTTGCCAGGGAGCCCTGCCCCGCAATGGCTAGCTTACACTTGCTAAATAAACTCAGCGGTTACCCAGAGAGGAAGCTCTTGGGCCGGTCTGGAGCTGTAAGGTAGTCTGCATGGGGCTTCCTGGCTGCTCTGCCTAGGAAGCCAGATCAGAGCAACCAGATGAAAGCAGGGCATTTGGGGGTTTGGGGGTGCAGAGGCAGCATCTGGACCCCATCCAAAGTTTTTCTGGGGTAGGAGTGAGAGTGCCTGGGGGCCGGGTGCAAAGGCACCGATGAAGCCACTGTCTGAAAACAAATCTGTTTTAAATGTCTGATCTGGGGGCCGCATCGGAGTCAGACTTGGGCATATTTATGAGTGACAATCATTTTTACCTCTGGAAAGCCTGCCTCTGTTCACAACCTACCCAAAACAGCAAAGAGCAACTCCCAGGGTATTGGGTTAGTTATGACTTTTGGAACACTGACATACTTGCTTTTGGAATAAAAACAAAATAAGAAAAACAAAAGCAACAACATCAACAAAAAGCCAAAGAACCTCACCCCCCCAACCCAGTTTTATTCTTTGTAAAGTTACTAAGAACTTTTTGCCAAGGAATGCAACCTTCACAGTGTGCTCTCATCAAGATGAGCTACTCAAACCTTAAGAGGAAGAACTTGAACAGATTTTAGTCATTGACTCAGGACCACACTAACCTGTTGCTGAGTAGAAAATACCTGTCTAAAGCTGAAGCCCTAGACTTGGAACTGGCTGCTCATAACACTAGGAGGAAACAGATCTTACTGCAAGTCTATAAGTTTGTTGAAGCTGGCGTACAGATGGGTTAATAATACCTTTTCACTTTCATGGTAAATGCCAGGCTAAGGAATAGGATCTCTTGCCAAAGACAGTTGAAAGGAATGCCATTGTTTTGTTTGGTATAGCAGCATATGGCTAGTAAAGTATGTGCAGGGACTCCCAGCATTTTGTTTAAAAGTTTGCTGCAGCAGTATAAACAATTAAGGCAACACTCAAAATTTCCAATCCTGAAAACCTGTTGACTCAGATGTTCTGTTTTCGAGAAAGCCATGCAAGACCTGGGCATCCTTGTGGGGGAGGGGAGGGTAGGAACCCATAGGCTGCTGGCTTGGTGGCTTCCTCCTTGTAAGAAGCCTTGCTACCCTCGAAGTTTCCTAGAGAGGTGAGCTCTGTCCATGTCCTACTTTCTTACCTACCAGATCCTTTTTGATACAGTTCCTCAAACCTTAGTCACTGTGACTTTATTTTCTGAACCTGACTGAAGAAAAGAATTAAGTTGCCTCTTAATTTTCTTCAGCTTTCATAATTGGAAGGTGAAAGATAATCTTTGTAACATTGGCTGGTGTGTGGGGGAGTGGGATCTGTGCTTCAGAAGATTGGTCCTGGGCCTCACATGTTCTTATATGCAACCTTCACCCATGTCGCCTCTATTGCAGTTTCTACTAACTTGGTTTTAACTGTATCATGTGACTAAGTATACATATGACTTCCGCCATGTTTAACTGCACAGTGGTTGCCAGCACTCTATCCTTCCCTCTGATTTTCTGGGCTTGTATAGAAAATTCATCGCTTGGCAGTTAGAGATTTGGCAAAGAATTGGGCCATTTACACTCTTTCTTACTTATGGCCTTCTCAATGCTAATGGCTCTCAGTTATATAGGATCTTGTCATTTTTGCTTTTCTGTTGTTCAGTTTGAGAGAAAATGAGCTACTATTTACGACGGTGATTCACTGGACTCACACATTGAGTGTAAAATTCCTAAGTGGAAACTCCTAGTCCAGGAACATGATGTGTTTGTTACAGTTGCTTATTTTCTCATGTGAAAAGTAGCACACATCGACTTCAAGTTGATTTAATATAATTTCACAGATTGTAAGTAAGGACATATAGTATAGACAATCTACTCTCCAAGCAGTGTAGAGTATGGCATAAGCAGTTTACTTAGGCAGGGAACATATTTATCATCTGATTAATGAGAGCAAATATATGAAAATGAACTGTAAAGATCTGTATTGTTGCTTTTGGAATAATTCTACTTTTCTACGTAGTACATTTACATATTTCAAGACTAGCAAAGGGCATGTGCTTTTCTTCTTTCTTTATAACCATTTGTACAACAGAGAGTGCAGTTGATGAGTGTCACCTGTAAGCACACCACAGATGTGCCTTTTAACATCAAGATTCCTTGTATGGGATGTATATTTTACTTTGTTCTCTTCACTCAAGATGGTTAGATAAAGTTGACAAAAACATGCAAATAAAGGGACTACAAACACTACAATACCTTGCCCTTTTAACTGAACTTGTCCTACTGTGTTCAAGTGGAAAGTATTTCAGCTTTGTGAAGTGGTTTTGGATTGCATTTACTAAGCAGCAGACATTCACTTTCAAGCTCTCTGAAATCTGCTCCAATAAATAAAATTGACTTTATGTTCATAGGAGTCACCCAAAGAGTGCTTCCCAAAGTTAGCATGTGACTGGCCCCATGGCTGGCCCCACACTCTCAATGCTCCCTTTTCTTCAAAGGAATGGCAGTATGGAAGGGTAAAGCCAATCTAACTATGACTTATATTGTCAATGAAATTGAGATCAGAGAACTTCTTGGCGAATGCACTGTGTTTTATCTACTTTTGCTTAGTAGTTGCTCAGTGAGTATACAGTAGCAGCTTACCATTGGGTCTGCATAGATTCTGCCATGGTTAGCTGCTGATTTTCACAGTTAGCTTACTGGAGAAACAAAATAAGTGAAGGCTTAAAAAAAATAGATACTGCTCAGTGGTTGTCTAGAGTAGCATACCTCTCCCCTCCTGGAGGATACCAGGTACAGAAGATCTGAGTTAGAGATGAGCTCACCTGAAGACTTCCTCTCCACACCCCAAGAAAGCCATCTAAAAATGGAGTAAACTCCCACAGTTTCATCCCCGCCCTTCTTTTGACCTGCCTTGTGAATTACACCCCACTGAACCTCTGAACCTTTAAGGTTTCACGTTTATCTGAATTTTGGAAAAAATTGGCCACAAGAGGGCGCAACCCTAAACCTTCATCTCTATATCAGCTAATCTGGAAAAGGCAGTTTTGTGCCCACTTGAAGCCCCAGCCCGTAGCGCCCTAATCTGGAAGATTACCAGTTATTTCCTCCCAGCAATCCCATCATCCAGAAGGGTTAAGATTTTATGCGCTGAGAGGTGCACGACTACCTGTAATACATGAAGTGAGACAGAACCACAGCAATAGGAATGCTGTGGTCCACGTGAACATTCCACAGCTCCATTGGCCGCAGAGTAGTGATACGTTTCAAAAACAAACAAAGCAGGGCTTGGGATGTGCGTGAATCATCAGCCACACCGATGTGAGCACAGTCTCTCCCTAATACGGTCGCCTGGGTTTTACAAAAACATCTTCCATCGCCCCCGATTCTGCTCCCTAGTTTGCCTGCCTTATCAATGCTTATCACGAGGGACAAATGACAAGTGACTTCCAACAGGGAGGGGAAAAAAGGACTATTTATTTAACGCCTGGTAGGAACATGGAGTTCAGCTGCTGAGGACGTTTGTTTCCCAGCTGAGAGAAACCGTGGGGGAAGGATGTGCAAAGAGTTGAGCACTGATTTTTTTTTTTTTTCTCGTGTGGAGTGGGTGTACTGTAGTGGGGATGAGGAGATGTCAGGGGAGAGATGCAGTTTTCACAGGGAGAGAGAAGGAGTACCTTCCCACTTTTCATGAAAATACTTATTTGTCTTGGCCTTTCTGCTATATCAAACTTAAGCATGATCTCTTCGCTTTAGCTCGGAATTCTTCATGCTTGACTGGTTCCTAGGTTTAAAAGCGTAAAAGTTTTGATGAACTCTGGAAAAACTCTCTGGGGTTGAATATTGAGAAAATTTTTTTCTATTTATATTATGAAGTCAGTCTCCACTTTTTTTTCAAACATTTAACCCCTTTCATCATTATTTAAATGGAAGAGGCAATGGATAATAAGTTACTCAGGCCTGAAGGTTTACAACAATTCAAAAATGGATCCCAATGAGAGGTTAGACAGGATAATTTATACACACAAACTAATATGCCTGCTGTAGGCAAGATTCTCTATAGTAGAACAGGGGAAAAATAACCTTTCAGACCTCACTTGCTGCCTTCTGCAGAAACCCCTGGAAGCCATCCAGAGGCCGACTTAGTGCCTCAGAGAACACACAGGCTGTAATGCTGGCCCTTTATGTTATTGACTGTGCTGTACCTAGGCACAGGGAAACTGGTTGAAGAATGGAAAATTAAAGTAACACATATTTTACAGCAGAGCTGTGCTCCCCTGATGGTGAGTTTTCAATGTGCACTGTGAATGGCAAGGCTTTCCACATTAACAGAGATGTAATTATTACCTATTTTTCCCAGGACGCTGGTTAGGAAAACCAGGCTAAACTAAACTGAAACTTTATGTGTATATTGATTGTTTAACTGGAAATGATCATATACTCACAAATCTCATAGCTGGACTTCTGTGTATGTGGCATTTGCATGCTAATGTTGGAGAAGGAATCGGGGAGCCTGCTTCTTTAAGCCCTGACATACCTTTGTGACCAAGCTAGTGAAAAATCCTGAAAGCAAAAGAGAATTGCTACAAACACCTTTCTTTTAGGCTTCCATAGACTTTCTTTCTGTCCAGCCCTCCCACCAGGCAGCATTTCAAAGGTATTCCCTATAAGGTACACAATCTATCTCCACTGAATGACGTGCCCGTTTTCTTCTGCTTTGCTGTGTGTCCACCAAGCTCACCCACATGGGTTTGCGTGGGACTTTCTTAGTGAATTACTCAGACAGAGCAGGCTGTGATACAAGCCTTGCTCACAAGCCTCAGGACAGAAAATAGCACAGAGGAGGGAAAGAACATTACCAGGGAGCAGTTAATGAAAGGTTAGGGAGCCAGCAGCTCTATCCGGAAGCTGTGGCCTGGTGGAGGAACCCAGCACACACCTGTACACATGAGCGCCATACTTGCTCACGCAGCATTATGGGAAGGTGTTTATTTCAGGCTTTTACAGCAGCAGATATTTAAGTCAGGCCTGAAATGGATGGAGGTCCTAAACATCTCAGCCTTAGATATCTTTTTTCCCTTTTCCAAATCATTACATGTTCAGCTTGGGGCCTCCTGGAAGCATCACTGCAATATAGCAATTTCTCTCAGGTAATAAAAATCAAGGGAATATAACATTCAATAGTTATATTTTTCATTCTTATGTAACTAACGTGAGAGCTGTAATATATTTCTGAAACCAACAGGTCTGATCAACGGTCACTCTACTTCAGCTCCTATCCATTTCACTCTCCCCACACCCTTCTGCAATGAGAGCTAAGGTAAAAGAAAAAAAATGCACTGCTTAATAAGTCAGAATACAATAGAACTTGTAAAATGTACCTGCGCATGAGGTAGACGGAGGAAGACTTGACTCTCTCCTCCCCCTGTCCTCCTGGGCATACGGCAACAGCATTTTCATGAAATTGGATCTCAGTTTTATTTTTTTCCCTGATAAAATATCATGCAATACACAAATAGCAGTTCCAGAAATGGACACCAGGAGAAGGAGGGGACAGGCATGTCAATTAGTAGGGGAAAATCCAAATGTCAGAAATATGGGGGAGAGATGAAGCAAGCTAGAGTGGAAACAAATACAGGAGCAGAGGCTTTCGGCTGGGTAATTAAACTGCGGCACAAATCAGCACCCTTGCCTCCCCGTGACACACAGGCAATGGCTTGCAGTTAATTGTCAGCCAAGACCAGCCTGAAAGTCGTTTGATGATGACTCTCTGAGCCTAGTGTAACAGCACCTGACAGACTGAGCCCCCTCTAATGAGCACTCTCTTTGTACGATCCTCCTGCAGGAACACTAAATCATTTGCTTCCAAGTACAGCCGCCTGTGAAGAAGGGGTGGAGCTACCTCATGCGTTAGAAACTTGTTCCCATGAAATGAGGGACCATCCTGCAGGCTCTGTGATGGGAGCCCATGGCCTCAGCCTTGCTGGACACGATAAAAAGCAATTCGTATGCATAATTGCTTGTTTTAGCTTGCCAGTTAATCCTCTCTTGTCCCCTACCCCAGCATCTGCAGTCAGCACGGGACTGCTTATGGGAAGCCCAGTGTGAACAGGTCAGCACTGCTGTCTGCCGCCCTTAGTCTCATACCCTAGCCAAGTGTGCAGGTGTGGACTGGGACAGATCAGAGTTTGGGAGAAGGCTGCCTTACTTGAGACCCAGTGAACCTTGCAGGCCAGGAGCTGTTTCCCAGAGAAAGAAAGTAGCCCCTTCTGGCTTCTCTAACTTAGCTGCTACTTTTATTCTCTGTCTGTGGACTGACATCCTGCGTAGCTCAGAATTTCAGAAAGGGCTCTGCTTAGAGGCAGGAAGGAAAACGGTAGGTAGGTAGTTAACATTTTCCAAAAGAATAGCAGACGTGCTCCTGCAGTGGAGGACCATGTGCTCTTCCAGGCCCCCTGTACCCTATTCCCTCCTCTCTCCCAACCTTTCTGGACCCTTCTACCTTCGTGTGCCCTAACACCCTTATGATCTGCTGCAATTACCATCTTAGATGCTGCTTCCTAGAGCCTTTCTTACAGAAATAAACAACAACATCAAACCCACTTAACCTTAGCAAAGGGTGATATAGGATTCACTTTAAAACCTGTCACCATGTTTCCATTTCTCACTGACCCTGGCTCTTATATGCTATGGAATCAGGATCTATTAATTATTTATTTTGATTCCTAACAGAAATGGGAAGTCACTCAAAGGAATGCTTCTGTTACCCCATCTTCCAGGCAAACTTTTAGGCAGATGCCAGGGGGACTCTCAATGCCTGTAGTCAGTGCTCCCTGACCCTTGCCTTTGTGAATTTATCTGTTGTAGTCATAGTGTACAGTGTTTTAGATTGAGATGGAATCTACAGTGTAGCATGCACAGAAAAGCTTGCCTTCTGCTGTAGTGCACTTGAGACTGTGCTGAAATTTATGGTACCATAAACATCTAAAGGTCTTCACTGATGAGTATAGCTGGATTTCTGTTAGCTATGGAAATCCAGTTAGGGAGATCCTCCTAGGGAGCTGTGAAGTCAAAGATGAACCCCTTGAAGATTGTTCCTAGACTGTGCATGAGATCCATGTACAGCAGACAGCTACAATTGGGGACATGATCAGGTAAAAGAGAGCATGCTTTTATATGCCTCTCAACGGTAATGTGGAAGTGAAATACATACTCAATCAAAGAATTCTAGTCTGGACACCACGTGTTTCTTATTATAAATGATACTGCATAATAAATCTACAAGTGTCTGTGAAAAGAGAAGGAAATAGCAAGTTTCTGGATCTACATCTATATAAATCTGGGCCATTTCTAGGTTGTCTTTTGCTTTAAAAACTGGTAGAAAGTGAAGTATATTTTTGGTATTTATTTGGTATATTCTAAATGAACAGAAGCAAAAATAAGTGATTCAGAGATAGGAGTTTCTTTCTTAATTCAAGGCAACTCAATGCTCGTATGCACCCATTTGTTAATTAGTAATCTGGTAATTACCTTCCCTTTGCTGCATACTACACCAAGACAGTGACTAAGACAGACATGACCTAATCTGGTTTCCTAAACTCAATTGGTCTGAGGGTGGTAGTAGGTGAGGAGAATGAAGGCAGTGGATCCATTCAGTTTAATAGAGGCATTGTTCTGGTTGGCCTAGGATGTTGCAGAAACAACCAGTGTCACTGCTACATCTGGGTTGAGTGCATAGAGTTCACAAGTGGTTAAATAGCTGGACCACAGGGACATGGACTTACATGAGATGCACAGTCCAAAGTCGTGGGCTAGTTTGTTAGATAGTGAAAATGAAAGATCACAACATGATCACAACTGTGATCAGACCCACTTTCAGGGAAGATGTCTTTAACTGCTTAATGGAGAAATGACTTGACAGAGGCCTGACTCAAAGCTTTGGCGGCCACTTGGTGAAAACTCTGATGACTGACAGACAAATTAGGTCAGGTGGTGACAGGAAGAAGACATTTTCTCAGAGTTTGGCCCACATTGACCCACACAGACGCAGGGGACAGGTTTTGGGTTTTTGTCGGAAATAATGACTCAACTTGCTAAGGCTTCCAGGGCTTTTCATTCATGTGATTCCATTACATCCTTTCAAACCCGTGAAAGCCTGGGTCAAATGTCATCACATTATTCTCATTTTGTAGATTAAATGAAAATGCAGGAGTGAATGAAATAGATGCAGGAGCCCAGGCTTCCTTCATCACAGAGCAAGGCCTACACACTTGTCTCTGTTAGTAGTGTCTCCCATAACTACTCAATTCTGTGTAAGTGAAGCATGGTCACAGGCAACAAATAAAGAAACACACAGGACTGTGCTCCAATAAAACTGCATTTTACAGGCACTAAAGTTTACCTTTCAGGTAAGTTTCATGTGTAAAAAATACTATTTTTCTTCAATCATTTCAAAACCGTAAAACCCTTTTCAACTCAGTGACCATATGGAAACAGATTCTTCTCTCATGTGAGCTGTAAATTGCTGACTGAGCGTTGTGCTAGATAGTGGGTAACACGATTCTTGTTGCCCGCGGTTAGTGATAGATGTAGAATTTGCAATTAACATGTGTTCTTTTATTTTTTTCTCTCTCTTGTGTCATTTTATCTTCAGGCACAGGCAGGAAGACACTGCATTTTGAGATTTCCAAGGAAGGCAGTGACCTATCAGTAGTGGAGCGTGCAGAAGTCTGGCTCTTCCTGAAAGTCCCCAAGGCCAACAGGACCAGGACCAAAGTCACCATCCGTCTGTTTCAGCAGCAGAAGCACCCACAGGGCAGCTTGGACATGGGGGATGAGGCCGAGGAAATGGGCTTAAAGGGGGAGAGGAGTGAACTGTTGCTATCAGAGAAAGTGGTCGATGCTCGGAAGAGTACCTGGCACATCTTTCCAGTGTCTAGCAGCATCCAGCGCCTGCTGGACCAGGGAAAGAGTTCCCTGGATGTGCGGATTGCTTGTGAGCAGTGCCAGGAGAGTGGCGCCAGCCTAGTGCTCCTGGGCAAGAAGAAGAAGAAAGAAGTAGATGGAGATGGGAAGAAGAAAGATGGAAGCGATGGAGCGGCTGAAGAGGAAAAGGAACAATCGCACAGACCTTTCCTCATGCTGCAGGCTAGGCAGTCAGAAGACCATCCTCACCGCAGGCGTAGGCGGGGCTTGGAGTGTGATGGCAAGGTCAACATCTGCTGTAAGAAACAGTTCTTTGTCAGTTTCAAGGACATTGGCTGGAATGACTGGATCATTGCTCCCTCTGGCTATCATGCCAACTATTGTGAGGGTGAGTGCCCAAGCCACATAGCGGGCACCTCTGGGTCCTCACTCTCCTTTCACTCAACAGTCATCAACCACTACCGCATGAGGGGTCATAGCCCCTTTGCCAACCTTAAGTCATGCTGTGTGCCCACCAAGCTGAGACCCATGTCCATGCTCTATTACGATGATGGTCAAAACATCATCAAAAAGGACATTCAGAACATGATTGTGGAGGAATGTGGCTGCTCCTAGAGTTGCCAGGTCCCAGAGGATATGGATCTAGAAAGTCCAGAGAAGACAGTGGCAAAATGAAGAAAAATATAAGATATCTGAATTAAACAAAACAACCAGAAAAATAGAAATAAAAAAACCCACAAAAACAAAAACTAAACTGAGAACAAAACTAATGAAACAGATGAAGGAAGTCGTGGAAACATATCCTAAGCCAGGGCTCAGAGATGAAGCAGTGAAGGAAACAGGGATTGGGAGGAAAAGAGAGAATGGTGTACCCTTCATTTCTTCCAAAACCAAACTGATTGCATCAGTTTTATCCAAACTGGGTATTGTCCTCTCTCCTGCCTCTTGTGGTTCCTTTTTGAGCCTGGAAGTCTACTTGTCTATTCTGCAGTAATGTGGGCTAGCACAACCCAAATAACGTCTAGAAAGCCATGAGTTTTAAAGGGCCAGTCCCACCCAGTTACCCAGGTCATAAGTATGTCTATGTGACACTATCTCTGTGTATTCTAGCGAGCAGGCATGTGCGTGTGAGTGCACACACACATGCACGCACACACACACACACACACACACACACACACACACACACACACACAGGGCCCCACACACACACCCACACACACACACACACACACACACACACACACACACACACACACACACAGAGGTATTTCCATACACCACATGCATACACATACTGGTAAAAGAAGAATTTCTGTGCGGGTGGTCACATTTTCTTTTCTGTACCACTTTTGCCACAAGACAAAATCAACATAAAACATTGAGAACAAGAATGGAAAGAGTGAAAGACCAAGGAAAAAAGAATACCAAGTTCCATTTCGTTAAGGTGCTTATGATCTTAGAACTATGCAACCTAATAGGTTTGAAACTGTTTACCTGAAAGAGGTCAAAAAGAGAGACTTTTTTGTATTGGAAGTAACCTGATTAATTTTTATTTTCTTCAAGGAGAGATACTTGAAAGGAATATGTTTGTCCATCTGTTGGATTCAAACATTTCTATATTTTGTAAATGTTGTTTTTTTATCGTTTACTATTTGCACTACAATGGTGTTTGACCTGTCTAATCCTTATTTAACAAGTATTTTCTTTGGGTGGGGGGTGGGGGTGGGGTTTAAGAGCTGCACTTCATGTGAGCTATAAAAGAACTGCTACAGCACACAAAATAGCTATTTTTATTATTATAATTATAATTATTATTATTATTTTGTACCTTAAAAATAGACACATACACCAAAGACATTTGTGTGAGCCTTTAAGCAGTCTGTCTGTGGTTGGTATTGTTCACCATCAACGAGTCAGGGGTGAGATTGAAGGTCGAGTTAGATGGGTTGTGTTCAGGCTTAAGAGACCTGAGAGGTTTGGGTTTTGACTCTTTTTACATCCATGAAACAGGACATTTCATACTGGATGTACAGTAGTGTACACTGTTGGATTATCAAGTTCAAATTCATGAGACTACATGCTTGTATGTGTATATATACATTGCTTGTGCATATGCATACCTGTGTGTATATATACATGTATTGTACCATGTCCATACACATTTTAAGCACTTCAGGCTGTCATTTTTTAAATGTTCTTAAAACAATGAATGTTTGTGTGCAAAACACAGTATTTTTAAGAAGGATAAGTGATAGATTTTTTTTTCTTGCTTTTACTCTGTATTAGGTGGGTACATTTCAAACATTTCGATGGGAAAAAGCCTGAAAAATCCCAGTGAGTATCCAGCGAGGCCCTCTTTAAATGCACAAGATGAAATCCCCCCTCTTTCTCAGCCCTGCTCCCTACAAGTTATCCCCTGTGGGGAAAACAGGATGTTAATAGAAACGGTGGGCTGAGGGTTTTTCAACTTATATTTATTATTTATTGGAATCAATCTTAAATCAGAAACTTTTTTGGAAAAAAATATCTCTAGGCTAGAATAAAAGTTCTTTTTTTGAATAGTGTTGTTACTACTTAAATAATAAAATAAGCAGGAAAGTATTTAAGACAGTGGGAGTTAAGGGAGAGAACACTTAGGAGCCAGGGATTAGGGTAGTTGTACAAATCTCTAATATTTTATTTTACAGCCAAAAATCTTGATGTGTAAGTTTGTATTTTTCAGAGGCAAAGCTGAAAAGATTGTCTTATAAATATCAAAATACATGCTTAAACCCAAGTTTCTAATTTAGTCCAGTGTTTTTGCTTGTCTAAAACAGCTAATAAATTATTCATTTATGTATTTAAAATACAGAGCCTTATTTTTACGGACTTGTTTGAAGTTTGAAAACTTTATAAAAATGAAAAAACTCTAATTGAGAAAAACTATATTCCTCAGTATTTTATAAAACATTGAAACTTTTAGCATTAAGTCAGTCCATAGATTAAAGTCCTTGTAGGAAAATGAAATACAAGTGAGAAATTAAATCTTACAAAAGCTGGTTTAACTCTTAAAAAAAAAAACTAAGCCAATATATATTATATATACATCATCACATTAGGCTGTATGTAGGCAATCTACTTTAGTCTTGTTACTGAGCAAACATACTTACTGTGTTCCAGGGGCCCTCCCTGTCTTATGCAGGAAATGCATGTACTGCATAAGAAATGAATTATAATTAAGGTCCATTGACCTTGGAGAACTTGCATGTGGGGACAGATGGCATGGGAGGAAAACTGAGGGAAAGTAGATGGCCAGGTTCAGCTTTGCCAATTTATATGAAAAAAATTTCGGGCCCTCCGAACTGTTTCCTTGGTACTGAAGCTAATACTGATACCTACAGAAATAGTATGGAGAAGTCTGCTGTGCCATATCAGAGACAATCTAGACCATGGAAAGAGCAGGACTTATGAAACTACTAATTATAGTTCTTGGTCATCTGAGACGAATATGTAATGTCTTAAGGCCCTTTAAATTCTAGATGTATTGGGGGTAAGCTCGGTTTAATTAGTAACCATAGTAATTAAATCTTGAAAAAATGAATTCCACAGGACAGTATATTAATTGGGGATCAAGTGACTTGGTTGTCACAGACCAATAAATCACATTTGAGCTCATCAAATTTGTATGGCCTTGCAATAGAATTTAAATTGTTAACATCTTTAAGCATATTAGATATTATTTTGCTATAGTAAGCACTCTCAGAAAACACAGTCTCGTGAACAACTGCTCCTTTTTTGTAGCTACTTAATCCAAAATCAAAAAAGCTTTTACTGTCTAACATCTTAGTTTCTTTGTGGTGTGCTTTACCTAGCATCAGAGTGGCTCTATCTAGTCTCCTCACTTTCTCTAGGATAATTGTGAAGTACCTGCCCACATGAAATCCAGAAGTAACGAAGAGCATCTATGCTCAACATCTCCTTAAAAATTAAATACCTTGTAAGCTCAATTGACATCTCCCCTACCCCAAAAGTAAGACAAATTCCAGCACAATGACTGGAATTTTCTTGTCCTAGAAGACCAGGCAATTCCATGTTCATTTAAGATTGATTCCACATTCCATTGTCAAGGAGAGGCCTTGCGTTTTTATAAAAGGCAGAATAAGCAAAACTGTTTCACATTTGCGGGACTGAACTCAAGAGGTGACTTTTAAAAAAAGAATAAACATGCCTCAGTTGTAGTAAACATACATTTAAATGATTGTGGTCACTTGAAAAATATGATTTCCTGTGGGCCTTTTGGCAATTTCCCTTTTCAATATAGAGAAAGACTAAATCACCCCAAAGCCCGCATAAGTGAAACTTGTAGATGTGGGCAGGGGGTTTGGGGATGAACACTGTATGTGTTTAAATTAAACCCTGTAACATGCAGAAGCTATTGGATGGCTCCGAGATAATGAATGCTAAGATGCTGTTCACTTCTTCAAGAGCAGAATCACATGTCTCAGCTATATTATTATTTATTTTTATGCATAAATTGAATCATTCTTCTGTATTAATTTTCAGTGGGTTTTACCCTCTATTTAAATGCTTTGAAAAACAGTGCATTGACAATGGGTTGATATTTTTCTTTAAAAGAAAAATATAATTATGAAAGCCAAGATAATCTGAAACCTGTTTTGTTCAAAACTTTTTATGTTATATGGTTAATGTTTGTTTGTTTTTATTTTTATTTTGTGAGTTATTTTGCATACTATATGCAATTCTTTAACCGATGTCTGTTTGGCTAATGTAATTAAAGTTGTTAATTTATATGAGTGCATTTCAACTATGTCAATGGTTTCTTAATATTTATTTTGTAGAAGTACTGGTAATTTTTTATTTACAATATGTTTAAAGAGATAACAGTTGGATATGTTTTCATGTGTTTATAGCAGAAGTTATTTATTTCTATTCCATTCCAGCGGATATTCTGGTGTTTGCGAGGCATGCAGTCAATATTTTGTACAGTTAGTAGGCAGTATTCAGCAATGCCTGATAGCTTCTTTGGCCTTATGTTAAATAAAAAGACCTGTTTGGGATGTATTCTTTATTTTTGTCATTTGTCTACTTGTTTTTCAAGATCAACTGTCATGCATATCACTACACATTTGTTAGGCGGTAATTTTGTTTCCAGTGTGATTTTCCAGAGATGATAAATGGACTGATTATGGGATGGAGTGCAAACTATTGACTGAGAGAAGTCCAGTAGAGGAGTATCTATCTGTATTGCCATGGTAGAACCTAACACTAGGCTATGACATTTATCTTGTATTTATTTTATTACTTTTTTTCTTCTCCAACTGTAGTGTCAATCATTTATAAAGCAGATACTGTTTACCATTTTCCCAACTGTTCTTTCATTTTTTCCCTTTCCTTTTTGTCTAGAACAATTCAAGGCAGAGAACAGTATGCATGTGAAAGAAACAAACTTCATTCTAATACCAGAACTAACAAAACCAAGCTGTGACCAAATGTAAACCCAGGGATTAGTTAATAATTTAGTTTTTCCTTCTATAGTTTCCATCTGGTTTGGTATCCAAACTTGAGGGTGTTTATCACCTCATTTCATCCTAGTTTAATTTAATTTCTGTTGTTGTGATAAAAAAACAACAACAACAAAAGCAACATGTGGCATTAATGTTTATTTCAGTTTACAATTTTAGGGTAAAGTCCATCATTGTGAGGGAGTCAAGACAGAACTTCAAATGGCTAGTCATATTACATTCTGTCAAGAGCAGAAAGAAAAGAACTTGTATGTGCTCAGATGCTTGTTTGTACCCATTGTACCCAGTTCAATTTTCCACCCTTACACAGTTTAGAAGCATTCCCCCCCCACCCCCGGCTATGGCCTAGGAAATCAGAAATAAATTAAAAATCTAATGATTTATAAATGAATTAGCATTGTGAATTTTATATAGATACTATCTTAATCTAGAGAAAAACAACTGAAGTTTAAAAAGAAATATTGGTAATTTGCAAACACACACATTTGGGAAGAGAGAATGTGTTGTCATTTTACACCCAAACCCATGTCCATTTGTGGTTTCAGCTTTTGTCAGAAAACAATTGTGTTA